AATTTTTTATAAGTGTATCCAGAAGAAATAAAATAAATGAAGGTGATACAATGTTGACCACAAGTAGGTAAAAGAGGGTTTTGAAGGGGAACATTATTCATTACACGTTTTGGAAATTTGGAAATAAAATTTTTTATTGAAATTGGTGGGTTGGGGAGTAATAATGAATCAAAAATAAGTATCTTCTCAGGGTTCATTATGAAAAATGCAATCCAATGTGATCCATTTTGAGAAGCCCTTTCTAGGTTGACGACCATTGAACAAGGATATTTTTGAATTTCTTGTGGAATTTTGTCTGCTGCAAAGCATCCAATAAAATATCTCTTAGTTATACTGTTGTGTAATAAAATTTTCTCGATTTGTAACGTGTCCATTTTAATTGAGGAAGGAGATGTTTATATCTCTCTTTATATTTCTTCAAGTTCAACGTCCTTGCTGTCGTTTTTATTCTTTATTAATTTTCTTAGTTGATATGTTAAAGCTATAGCTAACAATAAAAGCCAGAGTATAATCAATAAAACGCAGTAAATAGTTTGAGCGATTGATGTTCCTGATGATGGAAATTCCTTGCAAAGTGAAGGAAATTGTACATTGTTCACATGTTCCATTGATGAAAAATCCAAAATATTAATATTGGTTTTAGGATTAGAATTAGAGACTAGTCTAGTGTTATTTTGAACTCTTTCAGGAATTATTGGGTAATTTTTTGAAAACGAATTGATAAGTTCGATTGATTTAGGAGGTATTGTATTTGCATAATAGCCTATACGTTCTCTTAATTTTTCTCTGTATTCAAGATTATCCTTTTCATTAATCATCGAATATTGTAGTGATAATTTATACAGAAAGAAAAATAAAATAATACAAACAAAGCTAAATTCAATTTTAATAGTAATATGAAACATTTTTGAATGAAATTGAGAAAAAATGAAAAAAATTACGAGAATTTATACTGAAATATCTGTGGAAATTGTTCTGTTTCTATCTAACATTAGCAGTGAATCGATTTCACCCATAGCTACTAGCACAATCCCACCATTTGGAACCGGTTCATTGAAGGTCATTTTTATACTAGTTGTACCATTCTTTATTAAATCAAACATCTCCGGTCCATTATCTTCCTGGCTATTAGTAAGATTAAATACTAGCAGACAAAACCCCCCATTTGAAAAACGTTGCATTGAAATTCCATTACTTTCTAAGGCCCCCGCGTATCCTATAGCCTCCTGCATATCATGATATATTCGCACATATTTTCCATTTGGAAAATCAAGAGAATACGGGGCAGCTGGAAAAGTAACTCCCCCAGCAGTTATGGAAATATCTCGTAAATTAAAATGTTGAAAATTAAAAGGATGCGTCTTTTGAGATCCAACAAAATCGGCATTTTTAACCATTCCAAGGACCACTCTCCTCGGTACTTGATCCATCCATAGATTAGCATTAAATTCTGTCCTGTTCTCGCTTATGAATAATGATTTTAACGAAGTTTTTCTCATTGGATATCGTGCTGGTTTCAATTCTAATTTCTTTGCTATATCGAAGGCAAGACTATCCATTAGCTCAATTTTTTTGATAAATAATTTGCATGCAAGTACTTCTAAATGATATTTATGATTAGTGGCTCCTGGAGCAACAATAAGAAAATTTGATTCATTGGGCAAAAGCTCAATATCTACTTCACACTGATTAATTAGATACCGAGGTTGATTGCAAATGTCTACGTCTAATTTTGCCATGAATTGAGCGGATTTTTGTATACCATCAGCTGATGGTGCAAATAAGATTCTTCTATTCTCAAACCCAACACCATTAAGCCCCATATCACCATCATCGTAATATCCTGCGGCGGATAAGTATGAATTTTTTACTGTCTGTGGATACGTAAGTTCATAGTCGAAAATACTTTTATATGCCATAAGTGAATTTCCTTCAAAGATTTGGGTTCCATTTATACTGATACGGCAATTTTTCCAAATTGTATGTCCAATAAGTTGGCAACAGGAAACATTGTTGTCTGCAGCCTCCAAATTGGTTAGACGTCCATGTTCATCTTCTTTCCGAATTCTTAACTCGGTAAAAATATAGCACTTTGATAGGTCAATATAATTTGTGCTTGCGTGGATTTTGAAATGAAAAGGAGTTATATTTACAGGGTTAAGTGTGAGTAATTCGATAAATGATGAGTTGCTAATACTAACATTTGTATGAGGAGTTTCGAAAAATGATAAAGCATTTGTTATCGCGTTGCCAGAATCACGATCAATTTTCTGATGAGTAGACATTTTTATTTAATAAAGACCGAAAGTATCTATTTTTTGACGTTTCTTTTTTGTACTATGAGACGGTTTACCAATAATGATTTGATGACTTTTTTCTTTTGAAAATGATGAATGGGGTTTACGCTTTCTTTTGAGTCCTTTTATACTATCACTCTCTTGCAATCCGGTTCCAAACTGCTTTGGCATTCCACCCTTCTCAAGTAATCTATCTAATCCACGTCTTCCTTCACTAATTACTGTTTGTTTAAAATTTGGTTTAAATGCTTCCTGATCATATTCTGGGTTTCCCACACTTTCTAAAATTCTTCCTCCAGTATCCAATGCTTCTTTTGCTACAGCTGTTCCCGCGCGTTTTGCATAAGGTAAAAGGAAACGCCAAAAATTTCTAAGTACATCTCCAACTCCACCACCCATTTGTCTTCCGTATCCACGTTGATAAGGATTAAGTCCGCGAAAATAATAATAATTTTCACCAGTCCCTCCTCCTATTTGACTGAAAGCCGTATGATGATCATCATATCCGATAGTACGCGGATCAAAGGGGATATGAACCATATTTAGTTTAAGTTTATTTAGTGAAAATACGAAATTAATCTGCGTCAATTTGACGAACAAAATTTTAAATAGAAAAATTTGGGATAAATTGTAAAATAGAATAATTCGAATTAATTAATGGTGTTCAAGTTTTGATTAACAATCATATTTTATTAGTTTAATAATAATAATAAGTTTTAATTAATGGAAGACAAGACACCTAAATTGATATTTCAAAGTTTGCATTGCGTCGCTTGACATTTTGAAAATTGGCATTTTATCGTTTGACATTTTTAATGTTGGTATTTCGAAATAATTAGCTCCGCCCCTTACATTTGACTTCCGTTCATTTTTTAAAATCATTTTAATTTTTTTCTAGAATTTTGTCAAATTTTTTCCCTCATTTTTTAATTTATAATTATTTATTAAATTTTATAATTTATTTTTATTATTTTTTGACATTTTAAATTTTTTTGGAAATTTTTTAAATTTTGAAATGCCCGCCAATTTTTAAATTTGGCATTTTGAAATAAACCCCTTACATTTGTACTTCCGGTCATTTTTTAAAATCATTTTATATTTTATGCAAAATTTTGTAAATTTTATTTTTTATCATTTTTATTTAATTAAAACTATTTTTATTTAATTTTTTAAATTTATTTTTAAATTAGAAAGTCCCTTTTAAATTTTTCTATCAAAACTAAAAATATTTCAAAATGTCAAATTTCATATTGTCAAATTTTTTAACAAAATGTGTCTCACCATGAAACGTCACAAAAATTATTTTTTCATTCCCCACAAAGTATCAGCCAAAGGGAAATTAATAATGGAATGATTAATTACCCTAATTAATCGTGATTAATTACCCCTAAACACTTCCCAAAGAAAGGTGTTTGTGGCAAATATCAAAAAATACCCCCTATAGGCTTAGGTTTTATTGATGAAGGAGTGAGCGATTTGGGTAGCTACCTTGAAAAAAGGAAGAGCTATTTGGGTAGAAGAGCGATTTGGGTTGTGGAGCGAAAGGGGACTAGTTAACTACTGCCCTGCAACCAAGGGGTGGTAAAAAAAGGGTGGTTAGGAATATGAAATGTGTCTTTACCTTTTGGTTTCCTTTGATTTGCCGACTTCCTCCTCCATAAGGTTGCACGCAGTGCAACCTTGTGGGGGGGGGTAACTACTTTAGTGTGGAACAGAACATTTAGAGACTGATAGTTCCATAAAGATTTTGGCAATCTCGTTCCCGCCCTGTTTCTAGCAATCATATATCAAAAGTCATACATATCCATGAGCATGCCATAAATAAAGTGCATACATTTGTGGGTAGGTGCTAACTCGAGAAATTCAAATCCCGGAACAGACAGGTCACGGAACAACAATTCACGGAATTGCCAAGCCAGGAACGACCAACTCACGGGAAGACAACACGGAATATTTTAAAAATCAGAATATTTTTAAAAATCAGAATAATTTTAAATTCTGTTTTTTAAATATTCTAATTTTTCATAAAAGTCTTATTTTTCAAAATATTCAGATTTTTAACATATTCCGTTTTTTGGTCATTCTGTGAGTTGGTTGTTCCGTGATTTAGTAAAACCGTGACTTGTCCGGCCCGAGAGTAGCCCGACACGACATTTTTGTTAATTTTTTTGATTTTGTTTGTTTTTCCTCTTTTGTTAAATAAAAATTTTCGTACAATTGATTGTAGTCCCCAGCCATAGTTAAATAAATAAAGGGTGTGCTATTGCTTGAAAAATTAAATTTAAAATATGATTGTTAGCTAAATACAGCGTCGTTTATTATTTTTGTTTTTTTACATTTTCTTGTTTTTTTTTTGTATTTTTTATTTTGTTTATTTTTTTTGTATTTTTTAATTTACAGGATTTTTTAAATTTTTCTTTTCTTTTATACAACTTTTAATTTAACTCAGGGTTTTTCAACGCTTCCATTAACATTTCAGTTAAATCAATTTGTTCACCGCTTTTGTTGTATTTTTTGATTGCTGATACTGCTTTCTCAACCTCAACCAAACCTTTGAAAAGTTTAAATAAAAACCTTTATATGCATGCTTCACGCCAGATATTTAATGTTAAGTAAATCAGCACTGTCCGTACTCGTGCTTCGCAGATAGTTTTGGGCTTCGTACCCAGTACAGCGTGAAAGAAAACCGGATACCATGCTCAGCTATGTGAAAAGTTCGTATCTAGTTACTAGCTCCCTCATTTTATTTTCAAAAAACTTACCTTCATTTATTTTACCTGCAGTATTTTCATCGTTTATACTCACAAGAATTCCTGAATCTCTTTTCTCTTTAATCAATGTTACATTGACTTCTTTTCCATAAATTTTTTCCACAGTTGTTTTTCTAATTAAACTGTTTTTGTCAAAATAAAGAATATGTTCGTCCTGTTCATTATGAATTGTTTCAATATTATTGCTACTACTTGCTTCTCCTTTTTCAGTTTGCTCCTCTTCTTTGATTTCCTTGCTTAATTTAATTGTCACCTTCTTTTTTCCTTGACTTTTGTATTTAATTACATGATACAATATTGCTTTAAACCATCTTTCTTTTAATTCAACGATAAAATCATCATATTTTTCCAACATCTTTTCATGTTCTTCTTCAATGTTTAACAGCCCTTTTTCAAATAATTTATCATTTTCGATTTTTAAATTCTTTATCTTTTCTTCCAATAATTTATTCTGTTTGTTTTGAATCTCCTCTGATTCTTTTCGCATATTTTTATAGTTTTCATATTCTATTCTTTTTAAATTTTCTCCGCGACTTTTTTCTCTGAATTCTTGGTATCTTCTCTTATTCAATCCTCTTAATTTTATCCGTTTTAATTTTTTATCAACTTCTTTATCATGATTGAATTTTAACTCGTCGATAATTGCTTCATACCATCTTTTCCTAAATTCCTCATCGTTCATCTCTTCCAATTCCTCTCTTTCATTTTTAACTTCTTCAATTAATTCAACAATTGCCATAGGTTTTTCTGATTCAATTTGTATTGTTGTCTCAGTGTCAAATATTTGGACAGAAATAAATTCACCATTCTTGTAAGGATCTCTAAAATCCAATTTTCCATCTGAGGTTGTCTTATAAACTTTGCCTGTTCTAGTCAAAGGAATTTGAGTATTAGCTTTTATTTCTTCCATACCATAGTAAATCATCTGAAATATATAATAATAACGATTTCTAATATTTTGAGTAATGAAAAATGATTTTTTAGTTAAATGATCAAAATTGACTAATAAACTGCTATCCATCGAATGAATTTTAAAAGACATTTTCTGATGATTTTCTTTGAAAATTTTTTTGTTTTGCTTTTTATTGAGAATAACAGAATCATATTTAATTTGTTTAATAAAATCACAAAAAATCAAATCAAAAGGAATTCCTATATTTTCATTTGATTCGAAAATTGTCATCCCTTCATACTTCGTTAATATTTGCTTTAAATGAGCATAATCAAAGGATTGAGGACGATTCATTGGAGCACCAAGGATGACCAAAGGCTTTTCATCTTCAGTATTTATGTCCAAAACTGCTGTATTATAGATCAAATTCAAAAATGATTTTCCTTTTTGATTTCCTTCTTTTTCATTTATATAATTTGATAAATTTTTTACTCGTTCCTTCAAAACATTTTCCATATTTTTTATTTTTAACACATCTTCTTTAGTAGGAATTCTTCCCAATGTTCTCTTTCTCTTTTTATTACCAAAAGATAATTTATCAAATCCAGAACCCAAAAAGAAACGTAATTTTGGCATCCATTTTGGATCAAAAAAGATAAATCGATTTCGTGTGTAATCTTCAGGACGATTATTTACAAGAGTTGCATTCATTCCCTCTAGAAATAATTAAATTTTTTCAAAAATAATTAGAATTACCCATAAAGAGTTCGAAGGCAGCATATAAACCAACTGGACCATCACCCTCCACAATTACATTTTTATATTCTTTTCTCATTCTTTTATTTTCCAAATGATGATTGTAGATTTTTACAATAATAGCTTTATCCATTTCTTTGCTTTGTATTTTCGATAAATTAAATAAAAATTTCAGCACATTTAAGGCGGTAAAATTAAACAACGATTCCTTGTAGTTTAACGAGGATGCTTTTTCCATAAAAGAGTAAATATCAATCAAAGAGCCTTCTGAACCTTTTGAATGCAAATCTATCATGAAAGTCTTGCAATTTATTATTATATTTATCAATTCCATGCAGCTTTCTCTATTAGACGAAGTAGAAGATTCCTTGAAATTTATAACTAAATGGCCAATTGAATGACGGTATTGAAAATAAATAAGACTATTCAGTTAGAATAAATACAGTATATATGTATATCACGGGTTGGAAGTCTTTACAAATTTCAATAGGGCATTTACGAATTACATACAAATTTTTTTTGCCATCTATTTGCAGTTCTAAACATTACCTTTTCTTCTAACATCTCATCAATATTTCTCTTTTTGACAATTTCATCATATTTTTTTAATTCATTAGCAATATCTTCTGTTGCATCAAGAGATATGTTAATATTTTTTAAATTTAGTTGAGCAAATTCGGCAACTTTAGTTACAAGTCTGACAAAAGCTTTATTAAATGTTTCGAAAAGGGTTTTATACTCCTCATGTTCTTCAAGATTTATATATTCCTCGAATTTAACAGCATCATTTGAGTATAAACCACCTCGAGGCATTCCAGTTGAATTATCTATCTCAGCAATTTGTTTTAATCGTTTAATGCGACTTTCTTTTAACACTCCATCTATACAAAATAATAAAAATTTTTCTAAAACAACAAATGACTCCAATTATAAAATCTATATTAGATTGCTTTCAGAAAAACATAGTTTCTGAACAGCGTGTGTGGTTTTAAATATTTATACCTTTATCGAAGTTTTTTGCTGCTTCGCCAACATCAAACTTTAAAGCGAAAATCAAGACAAAAATTATCCACAAATTTGTTTTGCCTCGCATTCTCTCTTACCACAAGGATTCTCAATAGAAACTTTTGTTTCTAATCCTTTTAATGAAGATTTTTTAATTAAAAAAATTTTTTTAAATAGGTTATATTCAGTTAAATTGAATGTGGATAGGTAAATAAATGCCGACTTTTATAATATCTATATTTTACTCTCAATGCTATCTCTAAATTGCCCTATTAAATAATAGTTAAATAAAATAGCATCGATTTCCTGAGTCTATATCGAGCCAAAGTCCTTTCTAAGGACAAATTTTAGCTCGTTGAGCTTTTTCTTGGCTCGCTGAGCTCTATCGGATGATATAGCTTGTTAAAACATTATAAAACAAATTAATTTTGTCGCGGATCGCTCCAAAGTGCATTCTCTTGCTCTAAGAGCAAGAGAAATAGTTTAGTTTAACAATTGGCTGGGAAACTTATTTTCTATTTTATCTTCCTCTTTTGCTACTATCTTGTATGTTTATAAAGCCTAATTTAGCACACTGCTTGGTGTTTACAGGGTGCGTAGAAAGTCCTTGCCCACACTCTTTTTGGCATAAAAATTTAATCAATCTCGTTTTTAGGTTGCTTTTATTTGGCCTTCAAAGTCACCTTATCTTAATACTTTGGAAATTTATGTTTGGACACTTTTGTAGCAAATGATTAGACGAAAAAGATAAAAAATTATTGAGAATCTGAAAACTTCAATAAAGCGTGCCCGGGCCCAAAAAAGTGAAATGACTGTGCGACCATCGTAGTCAATTTCCAGAAGTGTTTAGATGCTTGTATTTTCGCAAATTTTTCAAATTTTGCAAATCTTTTTTAATTTTCTAATAACACACATTCTTGTGATTTTATGTGTGAATTTATTTGGCAAAATTCCTCATGATTAAATTTTTATGCCAAAAAAAGTGTGGGCAAGGACTTTTTACGCACCCTGTATATGTTTATATAAGTTTTTTATGTTTAAATAAGCGGAACTCTTGCAAAATATCCTATTTTTGCATCATATCTCTATAATTTAATTATGCTTAAAACAATTAAAATAAAAAAAATTTCAAAATTTCGAATTTATTTATTGTCCTAATCCCGATAATCGTATGATTATTTGTCCTTTATTAATAGTCTTGGCTCTTTTTTGGCTTTATCTTAGACGTTTCTTAGCTTAATTTTTGGCTTTTTCTTAGCTTAATTTTTGGCTTTTTCTTGGCTCATTTCTTGGCTTTTTAATTGCCCTTTTTCTGTTATATTCACTTATGAATGATTATTTGCCCTTATGATTATTCCTCATCTCTATCTTAATAAGAGCTGGTCGGTGTCGAAGTGGACTTCGCCAATTTTTCAAACTCATTTTTTCAACTCTCGTTCTTCGTCCAGACCCACTTGATCATCCCAAATTCCACCTCCAATCCTCTTAGACCTAGATGTTCTTCTAGATCCCTGATAATCCCTCGAATCAACTCTACTTGAAGGCTTGCCAAGAATACCACCTCAAAAAGTCTGATACCTCCCCATTACCTCGCCATATCTTCTTATGATGAGGTGCCTTATTCAGGGCCGCAGGTGAGGATTTTTGGAAATTTTTAAATTCCACTGAGCCTAATTTCTCCAGTTTTTAACGCCGTAAGCTAACATTTTGAAAAGTTGAGAGGGAAAGTTGAGAGACTATTATCGGGGGTATAACTTTTTTATGAGAGGCTTTCGAATGATATAAAATTCATTTGTATTGGATCAAGCTTTAAAAAATTTATAGCTGTTAAAATTTGGCTGTTACTCAGTTTGCGGTCGATTAACGGAAAAGTACCCATTTCTTCTAGAGAATAAAAAAATTAATTTAACTATGAAGAGTTTTTGTAACATGAATGTAGTTGGTTTTTATTCATTAAAGGTAAATTCTTTTAAAAACTAAAATAATTTTCTAATTTTATCGGCTTAGACACTTGGGGGAATCTTTTTTTATCAAACACAAAAAAAATTAAAATAAAAGACAGTTTCAATTTATGCAACTTAAAAAAAGAAAACAATTCAAAAAAGTAAATAATGTGGATCTTAACGGTTAAAAATGTTAAAATAAAATGCGTGTGTTGCAGCATTAATCTATGTACATTGAATTAGAATAACTTTGTTTTAAAATAAAAAAAAGAAATTCTTGAATCTGATGAACCATACTTCCTTCAACTTGCTTAATAATCCTTTTAAATTATTTCAAACTAAGAACAACATCACATACTAGCCGGTTAAGATGTTTCAAGACAGAAAAATTTCCCAAGCCCTAAGGTTCAAGACCTGAGCCAGAAACCTAAGCAAAACTTGATTTAGAATTATACCCCAACACCCCTCATATTTAAATTAGGGTAGCAAAGTTTAGCTACCGGGAGGAGTCGAAGGTGTAATCGCGTGGTCCCGTTCACACCTTTGCAGGTGCTCTCCCAATAATATACTAACTCAACCTTACAACCATTGTTTCACAATTACATCTAACCAGAATGATTTTTAAAATTCAAAAATACCAAAAAAATAAAAAAAAATAAAAAAAATTGTAAAATAAAAAAATAAATTACATAAAACTTATAAATTTAGACAATTCTTTTTTTCAAAATCATAGTTTTTAAACTTGGATTCTGATTTAAATTTGTAAATTTATTTGTTTAATATCTTAAAATTGAAAAAAAAACTTAAAATTTTTAAATAATCATGAATTTTCTTTACGGCTTTGTAATTAATAAAAGATTGACCAGATAACAGTGTTGGGGTGTAATTGACCAATTAGCACTACTCATTGGCTTTATTTATTAAGAGTTTAAAGTCCTCCATAAATAAAAATTCAAGGAAAACAAATAACAAACAAGATTAACGGGAAATTGAGCGTTCGGACTCTTCTTTACCGATTTATACTTAAAAAAATTTTTTTTTCCATATATAAACAATTATTTACCCCCTAACATAATCAGTATATTCAAAAAAAATTTTTCAAATTAAAATTCTTTATTTAAATTAAACATAAAACCCTTCTATTGAAGGAAATTTGTTTTTTAACAAAAAAATGCGAGACAAAGCAAAATTGTTGCCAATTTTAGCTTTAATTCTCGCATTGAGTTTTGATGTTGGCGCTGCTCCAGACAACCTGGATAAAGGTATTAATATTTAAAACCGGTTGTGGACTGACTAGAGAGTTATGTCTTTCTGAAAGCAACCTTAATATCGATAATATAATTGAGTTACCGTATTGTCTCTAATAGAAGCCCATCTCCAATGGAAGCCCACCCAATGAGGCGTATTGAAAAATAAAAGCCCATGCCCCCAATAGAAGCCCACTATATGAGGGGTATTGAAAAGAATAAGCATAGGGCTTGTATTAGAAACAATACGGTATGTTGTTTTTAGAAATATTTTTTAATTTTTTAGATGAACTTTTAGAAGAAAGTCGCATTGAACGTTTACAACAAATTGCTGAGATTAATAATTCAACTGGAATGCCTCGTGGAGGCGAAGATCTAGATGATCCAATTAAATTTGAGGAATATAAAGAGCTTGAAGGAAAGGTGGAGTATAAAAACCTTTTTAAAACATTTAATGAAGCGTTTGGAAGACTCGTAAATAAAGTTACCGAATTTGCTCAACTAAATTTAAAAAATATTAACATATCTCCTGATGAAACAGAAGAAATTGTTAATGAATTAAAAAAATATGGTGAGATTGTAAAAAATAGTATAAGTGTTGGTGAGATGTTAGAAGAAAAGGTAAAATTTAGACTGGACATAGCTGTGAAAAAATTTATATAATTCGTATAAAATTTTGGAGATCCATCCGACACTAAATATACCGTATTTTCTCTAATACAGCCCCAAGGGACTGTATTTTTCAACTATCCTCCAAGTTGGGGCTGTAATAGAGGGTGGGGCTCTAATTGAGGGTAATTGAGAGTTAATTATAAATTTCAAGGAATCTTCTACTCCATCAAATGGAGAAAACTACATGGAATTGATAAATATAATTATAAATTGCAAGACTTTCATGATGGATTTGCATTCAAAGGGCTCAGAAGGCTCTTTGATTGATATTTACTCTTTTATGGAAAAAGCATCCTCTTTAAACTACTCTTTGTTTAATGCAACCGAATTAAATGTGTTGAAATTTATTTTTAATTTATCAAAAATACAAAGCAAAGAAATGGATAAAGCTATTATTGAGATAATCTACAATCAGCATTTGGAAAATAAAAAGAAATTGAGCAAAGAATATAAAAATGTAATTGTGA